TTTTTTTTTTTAACCTCAGACTGCTTTCAGGATTTTATAGTCATAGATTTTCAGTAGTTTGATATAACTAGGTAGTTTGTTTTTATTTTGCTTGAGGTTTGACTTGTGAGGACTTCCTCCTCTCCATCCCCTCTACCCCATCAAGGTTATAAAATATTCTCATTTTCATGACTTCTGTAAGCTTTTAAAATACCCCATTTTCTCTTCTTTTAGAACCCATCGGTAGCTATGTTAGGTCTTTCAAGGTTTACTAACTGGAGAGATTGAGAGCCACACTATTAAGATTGAAAATTCTGTTTACTGAGTCAGAAAGTTAAGAGATCACTGGTGACTGTAGCAAGGGATAGCGAGTGAAAGATGACATGTGCATAAGAAAGCAAGAATTTAGGAGTGAGTAGGAATTGAAGAAACAGAAGGTTTTACTGTAGTTATGTGTTTGTAATTTGCCCCATAATTTTTGTTTCATTTTTAGGCCTTCATCATGGCCAGCATTTCCTTTCCCCTCCTTTTAAAAATGTTTTGGGAAACTATTCATCATTTTATGACATAATTTCATGTGAGTGCTGATAAACTCCCTATCCTTAAAAGAAAAGAGTGTTCTTACCAAGGAACTAGTGTTTTTCTTGATTTGAGAATTGAAGTTCTTGACATTGGGCATTCATTTGGCATTTTAATTATTTTTCTTCAGGAAAACACAGTTTACCTTTTTCCCATGTTATGGCCGCGCTTATAAAGAAGTAAAAGACTTGAGGCTTCTCTATTAGCTTTCATTTTCTTAGTTTTAATGAATACTAGCACATCACTGAGTTGATACATAGCATTAATCTGTTGCAGTTGTCAGAGATGTAAATACTCCAGTTTTTAAAAATGTAGTTAAGAAGGATGGCTTCATTGGGTAATCTTTTCTAACTGGGTATTTTTTTTACACACAGGTTATTAGATAATTACTCTATCAACTTAGAAGTTTTAACTTATACAAATGCTTGTGTAATTGAATGTGAATTGTGGAAAGTAAAACAGCAAAGAAAGGGAACAAAAATTGAAAACAAAAGCAAGACACCTGTTTCTTGAATAGAGTTCTCCAGGGTTTTTTTTTCCCCCCCAACTTCCTAAGATTTCATTGTTGATCTTATAGTCAAAGATAAAATATAATTTGGAGGGTTTATTTGATATTTTTACTATATTATAGTTAGTATTAGAATAAAGAATGAAAAAACAAAGAATGATAAATACTTTAATGCTTAAAAATTGAACTAGCTTTGGAGTAACTTTACTTACATGATTCCATGATGAATGTAGTTTTAGTCTGTCTTTATTTGGGATCTTTTAATCATAAAATTTTTAGAATTTGGTAGACTTTATCAGAAAGCCTGGTTTCATAAGCCAGGTGTTTATATCCATAGATTTATTGTTGAAATACTATCTTTTTTCCTCCCCAGTTCAAAGCAGTATTCAACGATTTCAAGAGAAGTTTTTTATTTTTGCTCTGACACCTCAGCAAGTTAGAGAGATATGCATATCCAGGTAAGAGTATTGTTTTGAATGGTTCTCCACATGTCAGTGTATTAATTAGCCTGCTAAGGTTGTTGTAACAAAGTACTGCAGATTGGGAGACTTAAGAGAAACGCATTTTCCCAGGAGACTTGAAGTCCAGGTTAAGGTATTGATAGATTCAGTTTCTCTTGAATGGGGCTGCAGCATCTGCTGTCTTTGAGCTATGTGTTCACACGTGTGTCTCTCCTCCTGTGTGTGTCTTGGTCTTATAAGAACACCAATATGTTAGACGAGGATTCCACTCGTAGGAAGGACTTCATTTACCCATTACATGTTAGGGCCTCTGCTTCCACATACACTCACATTGGGAGTCAGGGCTTCCACATAAGAAGATGATTTTTTTAAATTAAACAAGATGATTTTTTTAATTAAAGTTAACGCAACAAAATTTAATACTCTGTTAGAAAAAAAAATTAACTTTTGAATAAAATCTGAGGTTATATTTTGAATTACTGTTTGTTACATGGAGCAGTAACTTTCTGGTATAAAGTGGTCTAGGCTCATGTTTTGTTTTTTCTGCCTCAGTCCTGGAATTGATCACTCCAGGGAGCTCTGGTTCTTACTTTATAACATTTCTACCTCTTTTGGGGGGTGGGGGGGAGGGGAAGTGGTTCATTTGGTTCTATAACCTACTATACATTTTGGATGGTTGTGCTTCTTTTGTCATTCAACTCTGCGTGGTTCTGAAACTTTGTATGGCAGGATTACTGGGGAGCTAGAGTCCAGATGCCCAGATTTTATTCATATCAGTTACAGTAGACTCTGAGTGTGCAACACAAACAGTAGTTTGTAATTCTCCCCAAATGTTTGCAGTGTGCAACAAATCTGAGAACCCCTGTTGTTCACCTGGCTCCATCCCTTTGCAGTAACAGTAGTAAGGTCTAACATGCATTTTGGCTGGGTGGTTTTGTTTTCTTATTACATCTTGTGAAGACAGATCAGTGAGTTCAGCTCTATTCTTGATTAAAGTACTCCTTCCACTTGGCATAGTATGGCTCTAATCGTCCCCTCTGTCTCTCACACTGACTTCTGTTCCATGTTCCCAGGAATCAGTCTGTGATTCTTGTCTCATGATCTGTGATAGTGCACTCTCTGAAGGGGTCTTGTCATTTTTATAGTGCTGGCTGCAAAATCAGTCACCAGTATTTCCCTCTAGAGATCTCTGTTGCTACTTTGATGACCCCCACATGCATCAGTACTCCGAAAATTGGACATAACCTTCCTCCCAAAGCTGCCTTTCTCTTTTGTTTTCTCATTTAGTCATTCAACAAATGTTTATTCACCATATGGCACAGACGGTGTTCAGGCTCCAGGGGTGCAAAGTCGAAAAATCAATAGCCAATAAGGAGATTTTTTTTGCTTCATGTATTGACTACTATTGCCTATTTTATTAATGGCTTGGGACTCTGCCTGGACAAAGCCTCTTTATATTACCCCACAATGTACTGATCATAGCTGTCAGCTTGCTGTACTACATTGTTCGTTTATGTCTCATGCTTTAAAGCTTGAAGCAAGTTGGAGGGAAGCTAGCATAGTCCTACTAGCTGGCATGTGAATTCTGTCTCAGCCACTTAGGTCTACATGTCCTTTGGTACGTTCCTAAAGCCCACTGAATCTCATGCACCATTATGGAAAATTGAATGGCATGACTTGCTTTTCCGCCTTACCCTGATGATTGGTATCTCCATCTCTCAGTTTGTGCCTTTCCAAAGCCTGGTAGCAGTTAGTCTCTTCCCCTTATCCTTCTTTCACGTATCTGTTTAGTCAGGGAGTCCTGTCAGCCTAAAAATCATTCAGTGGTCTTTACATCTAAAGTAACTTCATACTCTCCCCTTTTGTGTATGTAATTGTAGTAACCTCTTGGCTTTCCCAGCAGACTGTGCCATCTTTCTAATGCCCAGTTTGTCTTCTCCTCCTAACAACCCTGCCGTGACAGCGCCATTGCCTTCCTTGCAGTTCTCTTAAGCATCTCACTCTCCTCATCTTCGATGCCACCCCATCTCCTGCCGCTTTTCCCCACAGCCTGTCTGCAAGTAGGTTTACATGGTGTACTTTTGCGTAGCCTCTTCCTCCCTACTCTGGCAAATCCTAATGTTTTAAGAATTTATTCAAGTCTTAACTGTTCTGTGAGTCCTTTCCAGGTTTCTCACATCCCATACTTTCTTAGTGTACTACATATTTACTTTCTATCAAAGCATTGTGCCATTGTTTTGAGTACTTATTGATGAAAGCGGCTTCCATTATTTAATGTTCTCAAAGCCTGGCATAAAGGAAATGTCTGCTTTATATTTGATGGATGAATAAGAACAACATGTGAAAGCTCTTCGAACCATAACTGGTAGAAATGTCTGTGAAGGAATTTAGCACATTGTAGTTCCTAAGCTGACACAAGTTTCCCTCACTAGAATAAGGCATAAGTCCTTAGCTATTCGAAGCCCGTTATAACACGTTACTTATATCTCTTTAAGTTCATATTTTATAGTTTTGTTTTCAAATTGTTTCCCAGCCTAGTAAGATTCTGCGGTGTATCTCTGCGTGCTCCTTACCATTTACTTTTTGTTGAGAATCTGTACTAGTGAAACCGCTGATACCGATGAAAATGTGAGACCTTTGAAAGCAAACATATTTAGCTTTAAAATTTCAGTGCCTAGACCTGAAATAGTTCTTGATTTTAGTGAGTAGGATAATATGGATTACTCGCAAGAGGTAAATATAGTCTAGGATACTGGAATATTTTGAATACACGTTTGAGAAGGATGGAGCTACTACCAGGGAAACACAGACCAGAGTTAACAATAAGAGCAACCAGCTGCTTGTATGTGTTGAGCTCTTCTTACTTTCCGGCTCTTTACATGTATTATTGACATGTTTAATGGTCATGAAAATGCTGCGAAGGAGTTGCAATACTTTTCCATCTTCAGCAGAAGTAGAAATGGAGGCACAGAAAAGTGAAGAATTGATAATTCTCCCAAGAGCACACAGCTGGGATTGTAACGCTTGAGTAGGTCATTATTTTGCTTTAGTGTTTTCCCAGTGAACATAACGAAGTGGAAACAGTGAGGAGTTTGGCCCATTTAGAGAAAGATGAGGGTTAAATGTTTTCTCAAGAAAAGACTAACGACTAGTGACTTTCTGAGAAAATGCAAGATTTACGATACTGGCTAAGGATGTTACCTCTTAAGTTGTGATGTGCATTCATGTTACTTGGGGCATCTTGTTAAAATGTAAAGTCTTAATTTTGTAGGTCTGTAATGTGACCTGAGTTTCCATTTCTGATAGCCTCCCAGATAGTAACAGTTTTGCTTCATAGTGGACTCCATTTTGAAATGGTGTGGGTTTGGAAGGTTCAGTGCCAAAGATACTTTACTTGGGACTCTAATAGGTTCTCATCCATAAATTATAAGTGGTTCTGTGTCCTTAACTGGGTGCATACTTATGAAGCTGCCATGGTATAGAGATGTTGAGACTCAGGTCTTGGTTCTTTGTTATAATCACCTGAGAGTGACTATAAAGATTAATGGTCATATTTGACTCCAGACCAATAAGAATATCTGATAAATGGGCCTTCACATTAAAAAAAAAAAGTACAAATGATTAGAATACTCATTCAAGAGTTAATTACCACTGTACACAGATTAAACTCTCTCAGACTCTCATGTGTTCCTTTTCATATTAACCAAATCTTTAGCCTCTTAAAATAAATATTGCTTCATACAAGTGCTGCAGTACTTGAAGTTGCCATAAAGACATGACTAAAGAGTCAATTAATGAGGGTCATCACAATGGTGCTTTCATTAGGACTTGCTCTCGGTTCTAGGAGTCATCTCTTTAAGGATTATGAATAAAAAAATCAAACAGCTTTTTTTCTGTTGAGACTGTTGTTGTGAATTCTCCTTGTGCTTTCTTAACCTAATTGCTTTCTCTTTCCAACAGGGATTTTTTGCCAGGTGGTAGGAGAGATTATACAGTCCAAGTTCAACTGAGGCAAGTTTGAAATTTTCTGTTTCATTTTATACTGGCTGGCTGTGTACATACAGTTCTGAATTTGAAGATACATAAATATGTTTGCGAACACTGTTTAAGAATAATTTCTCTTTTTTCATTTAATGTAGACTTTGCCTGGCAGAGACAAGTTGCCCTCAAGAAGATAACTATCCCAATAGTCTGTGTATAAAAGTAAATGGGAAGCTGTTTCCTTTGCCTGTAAGTTGCTTTTTATTTACCATGCTTGTGTATATAACTTCAGTATAGCTAGTGACAAGTCCTAGAAACTGACAATTCTGTACCAACGAACCATCTTGGCTTACAGATTGTGCTTTTTCCATTGAAGAGATTCTTGACTCATTAGCCACAGACCCTGGTTTTGTGTCTAGAGAAGATGGAAAAGATAAGGCTGAAACATTTTACATCAGAAGGCAAGGAAACAGTATAGGCTCTTAACAATTTTATCAGGTGGCCCAGTAGCAGGGCAGGCTTGATGGGTGCCTGATTTAGTTGGGCCTTGGTTGTGGATGAGGTGAGACGATGAAAGGCAGAGACTTGTGAGAAGGACTGAACATGGGGAGATAAAGGATTCCAAGCTTGGGTCTTGATGATGCACTGCCTTGAGGGGATGAATACAGTGATATTTGCCTGACAGCTTGTCATGAGCAGTGAAGCAGAATGTGGGTCTCTGTATGAGGATGGACATAGTTTATGTACAGTCTGTTTCTGACCTGAGAGCTCTTGAACTGTTAAATCTTAAAAAGAACCCTTAATTGTTAGAGTTGTGCTAGTGTTTACACATTCACTTAGGTTTGGATGGCTTCTAAATTGGTACAGCACTGTAAAAGGCCAGCAAAGCCATAGTCAAAAAAGTAGTAGAGCACAGCCTTTTGTTACCGTGCTCTGCTGCTGGTGAAGGTGTTTTGTTCTGAAGTGCTGGAAAATTAACGATTCCACCAGCGTAGTAAGTTGCCATTTCAGCACAGCAGACTATTGAAAAGGAGGTGAAATTTTTAGCATTCCTGCCAAGAATCTGGCTTGGCTCTGAAACGAGTTCGAGCAACACCTAAGAGAAATTGAGTGGGTCATGAAACATATGGCAGGACTCTGGGCGCTGCAGAGCCTGGGTTAAACATTGAACACCAAAGTGAAGAGGGTCCATGGCCAAGATTGACCCTTGTAGAGATCTCACTTCTTGGTTGTTTAGGGGTCCCATTTGTTTCATACACCGCCTGTAGTTTTAGAAAGCCGAGAAACAGGTAGTCTGTGAATTTTATAGGGTTTGAACAATGAGGCTGCATGACTCTAAAGGTGAAGCTGTAATCATTTGAGATAGTGTTCTGGGGGGATGAAAGTAGAAACTGCAGAAGCTGCGTATAGATTTGCTTCGGAGATCTTTGTCAAATGAACTTCAAAAGGGAAAATTGTTAGAAATAAATGAATCCTAACTATTTAAAATATTCCAACTGTATCCTGTTGTCAATAACCAGGTTTTGATGGTTGAGTGGAGTTGATGCTGATGATCAGTGGGAGAATGTAACAACATAACTCAAAATTACCAGTGAATCAATCAGTCATGGGGGTAGAGAGTAGACTTAAAATGCTTCAGGTGATTAAGACTAGCACATACTTGATTCTGAGTTTGCTAACGTCTCTTTCTTCTGATTCACTGTCAGTCTCCTTCCTCCTGTTGCCCTCTTCCTTGTCAAATTGGCTCATGACATTGTTGCTTGCTGTCTCACATTTTAGTTTGCACTCTTCTCCATGAACTAGATCATAGGTCATTTTTGCCATCTTGGTAGACCATGTTGCATTGTTTTTGTCTTGGTTAATCTACCAGTGGGCATTATTCTCCAGGCCAGGAACAGGCAAAGCAAAGTTTCCCTGATAATGGTGTTGATATTCTTGTGCTTGTTGACCTTTGAACCAATTCCTAGAATCTTTATAAGAGTACCTTTTTCTTTAAAGATTTACTGATGTATACAAGAACTGGGATGTAGGCCAGAGGTGCAGGGGTGAGAGGATTCACCAGAGTGGGGAGCAGAACAGGCTGATCTACTGAAATACACTGCTGAGGGGAGCATCAGACGAGACAGGAGAGGTCTGCTGTGCCATGTGGATCAGTTCCCTGGCCTAGGATCAAACTTGTGCCTCAGTAGCTGGCAATAGCTTGGTAATGCTGAGACTTTGGCCCCTGTGCTGTAAGGAAGGCCCTGTAACTTTTTTTTTTGTTTTTTTAAAGATTTATGTATACAGAAGTGGGGTACAGGCCAGAGGTACAGGGGCAGTGAGAGAATTTACCAAAGACAGAGTGGGGAGTAGAATAGGCAGACTGACGAAGTACACTGTTCAGAGGAGCAGCAGGCGGGACAGGAGAGGTCTGCCACCACATGTGGATCACTTCTGGGACTGGGAATCGAACTCACACTGAGGGGGCCTCGGCCAGCTTTGCAATGCTGCGCTCCAACCCACTGAGCCACCAGGAAGGGACAGGATTATTTATTTAAGATTTATTTATTTGTACATACAGAACTGGGGTACAGGCTAGAGGCTCAGGGGCGGTGAAAGGCTTCCCCAGAGACAGAGTGGGTAACAGAACAGGCAGATCAACGAAGTACACTGCTGAGGGGAGCAGCGGGCGGGTCAGGAGAGGTCTGCCACGCCATGTGGTCACCTCCGGGGCAGGTGGGAATCGAACTCATGCATGCGGAAGTGGCTTTAGCTTCTTAGTGCTGTGCTTTAACCCGCTGCGCCACCAGGGAGGGCCTAAGATAACTTTTTTAGTGAGTTTTTGTGATTAGATTTATTTCACATGAACAACTTTAGTTGGACTTACTCCTTGTCCCCTCATTCTCATATTTCCTTTCTGTCACTTTTCCTTTTCATAGTATAATAAAATTTTAAGGATCTTCTCTGTTCTATTTTTAATGATTTCAAGTTTTATTCCTGGTTGTAGATTGTGCAGATGTGAATCCCCACTTACTGAGAGCTGTCCTAATGAGTGCATATATGAGTTAGTGAGGCATATTCCTTAGTTGTGATTGACACATGTGCTTCTAGTGCCCAGTATAAAATACCTGTACCAGTGTTTCTGAGGTGTTTATTTTAACATCCCTGAAACAACTGCTGGTGGCCAGGTGGCAACTGTGATGTACTGTTATTGCCTGCACTTGTACAACCTTGATGGAGTCCTGTGGCATGGCTGATGAGTTGCATTCTTGGTTTTTTCAATCAACAGAGGACATAAGGACATTTTGAGAAATGAGCAAAAATCCTGGCTTTTGTCTGAAAACCTTTGATCTGTGGATCAGCATTTACATGTGTAGTTGTGTGCCATTGACTTGCAAGGAAATCTGAGCACTGTTAGTGGAAGACACTATGGTTTTAAGAAATACTTTCCTGAAAATACTGGATGGTTTCTCTCATAGCAGGAATATAATGGACCAGGCGAGAAAATAATGATGAACATATAGACCAGAGACATTTTGTGGGGGTGAAGTGGGGACTGGGCTCAAAAACAGTGTGGGGAGGGAAATGCACTGGACTATGGTGATGGCACATGGGTGATTGGGTGATGGGAAGCCCAAGGGAATTGCAGCTGAGATGGAAAAATGCACAAAATGATGTAAAAATAAACTATTATATTATTAAAAAAAAAAAAAAAAAAGACTTTCCTTGCCCTCCCTGGTGGTGCAGCTGCTTAAAGTGCAGCACTGCAAAGCTGGCCACATCCCCGTCATGTGAGTTCGATGCCTGCCCCCAGGGTGACCCACAGGGCACAATAGACCTCTCCTGTCTTGCCCTCTGCCTCCTCTCTGCAGTGTACTTCATCAATCCCCTGCTCTGTCTCTGATGAATCTTCTCACTGCCCCTGCACCTCTGGCCTGTACCTCAGTTCTATATGCATACATAAATAAATATTAAAAAAAAAAACTTTCCTCTTCAAAGCTCTTAGTGGTACAGAGTATGGAAAACAAGCATTTGATAACCGAGTGAAAGGTGGTTCAGAAAATTGCTTTATATATCCAAAAGGAAATCTTTCAGCTAATTCATTTTGCTTATATCTTCTTGCAATGTATACATCAATAAGTAGTGATATTACATTGTATTATTATTATTATTTTTCTTCTCAGTGGCACATAGTTAAATTTGATCAGTGACTTCTTAGGTTCTGTGAAAAATGGCATGATTTTTAACTTGTAGTTTTCTACAAAATTATCATTTTCGTTTTGAAAATCACAAACTGAAATGGCAATTGAAATTTGGCTATAATGTGAATCAGAATATGTACATTTGCTGTTTAAAACAAATACTTGATGACTAGCACAGAATACAGTTATAGCCATCAGGCTGTTAGAATTTGATGCCAGTTGAAATATTTTTACATGTGAGCTTGACATGGTCTTAGAAATGATGGTCTCTGTTCCACCTGGAGAGAAGTTAGTAGAAAACATGTTTATCACGAGATTTTAATAATTCTTTCAGATCGTTTTGTTTGTTCTTTCTGTTAGTTCCCAAAGCTTGTTCTTCCTCTTTCCATGCCCAGTATGTGAATGCATTGAGTTCCCAAGCCCAGTCAAACAAAGAGGTATAACTTTGTCTTTAAAAAGATTCATAGCCAGTGTTGTAGTATGTCAGCATCTTTAGTTTTAATTATGGAACATGAATTTGTGTGTGTACGTTTCTTGAGAAGCATTTTCTAATTCTTTAAAAATAATTTTCCTTTTTTGAATTGGTGACCTTAGAGTGGAGACTGATATCCTGGGTAAATAAAAATAAGTGAAATTTGTCAGGATCCTGTATCAAGAGAAAAAGTTTGACCTTCTTCACATAATTTAAGGTTAACTTTCTTTCTTACGGTTGTAGGGCTATGCACCACCACCTAAAAATGGAATTGAACAGAAGCGCCCTGGACGGCCTCTGAATATCACATCTTTAGTTAGGTTATCTTCAGCTGTGCCAAATCAGATTTCCATTTCTTGGGCATCAGAAATTGGGAAGGTAAAAATTCTCTCCTCTTGTTGCATGAAATTTGGAATGGTTTATTTATTATTACTATTTATTTATTTATTTATTTATTTATTTATTTATTTATTTATTTATTTATTTATTTATTTCTGAGGCTACTGGCTCTACCTTGTTTAGTTTTCTGATTAGAAATTCTTAAGGTTAAAAACTTAAAAGATTTCCTGAGTATTCCTGGAAAGGAATAAAGGTAATGATTTATCACAATGTTCTTAATGGTTGTTTAAGAAATTGTAAAGTTTTAAGTATTTATGAAGAGAAACAAAGCTTTGGAGGGATTGCTTTGTCAGTTTGCTTGTAGGGCACTGGTCCTAATTTATTTGCATGAACTGAGTTGGCTAAGGATTCAGAAATCCTTGTTTTAGTTACAGATTGACCATTATTGATTTTGACACACTTACTAAATCATCTTGAGGCCTATTTATTGTAAAGGTTATGTAAAATCTAGAGAATATGTGTTGTGTGCAAGTATAAAGGGTGTTTTTAGTAAATGATCATAAACATTGAAGATGCTGCAATATTTTTGTTACATACATAATGGCAATAATACCTTTTCCTTGTAATTAAAATAATAAACTGGTAAAATTTGCACCATAAATAGGCTATTTAAATGCTACTTAAAAGAACTTCTAGGGCATTAAAAATGAGCTAAAATATTTTGTTGAGCAAATATTGACAGTTTTGCTTATTGTAAAATCCATTGAATGAGTGTACATAATGAAATGGCAAGATAGATTTTTAACATTTAGGTGAAATAGTATATCAATGCTTCATATCTGAAAATAACTAATGTGAGTTCCTTTGTGTGAGATCTAAAATTTAAGAGGTATGGGACTGGACACTTTCTGGCCTTGCTGTTTTGAGTTTTTTAAATCTTCCTTTGTCTTTTACTGTAGTAGCTGCCCCATCCCCAGTAAAATATCCACTTGGGATCAAGAGTTAAATATATTAAAGTTTTCCTCAAAAGAAAGATGGACTTTGGGGTTTACTTAATTAATTTGTTCAAGGCTATATAGCAGGTGACAGTCTCTTCTGCCGGAACTAGAATTTCAAACTACATTTGAAGTGTCAATTCAGACATTGGTGTTTGAATATTGATTCTTTGGAGGGACCCCCTTATTTATATTTTCCAAAAAGGTTTATTTTGATTTATTTATGCATATAAGAACTGAGTCCAGGCCAGAGATATATGTGTGTGTGAGGGGGTTAGTGGTGATGAGAGCATTTATCAGAGACAGAGTGGGGAGAACAAGCAAAAATACACGGCTCAGTGGAGCAGCAGGTAAAACAGGAGAGGTCTGCTGCCATGTGGATCAACTCCCTGGCTGGGGAGTGAGTTCGTAGATAGCTTCCGAGTGCTGAGACCTGACCATCAGAGGTGCCCCTGGGCCCCATTTTTTAATATTCTAAGAACCCTGTTAACTAAAATCAGAAATACTCCAATTAGAGGTGGGCATCTAAGGACACATTTTCTTTCAAACCATGGAGATGACCCCTAATGTACCAGTTTTGCTAAATTTGAAGCGCAATCCACTGACCTAAGCTGGATGTTTTCCGACACTGTTGAGAAATACTTAATAGGATCAGGGTTTGCTTTTCTCTTCCAAAAGTAGTTGATTTTTGTCTCCTTCCTGTGGAAATTATTTTGAATGTTACTTTTAGAAACTAGAATTTCTTCGGTATTTTATATAAAGTAGACTATTATGTCTGTTTTTAATACAGATTATCTTTCTTTTATAGAATTACTCCATGTCTGTTTATCTTGTACGACAGCTCACATCAGCCATGTTATTACAGAGATTAAAAATGAAAGGTATTAGAAATCCTGATCATTCCAGAGCACTAAGTAAGTAATGTCTGAAGACTGACCAAATGAGATGATTTAATGGGGGTTGGGGGGAATGTCTCATATAATATATTAATACAGGAACACTTTGGGCATAATTGTCAGAAAAAATCTAAAAATAATTTTTTAGTTAAAAAATATTTTAAGAATGAAGCCCTGTATGCTGAAAAACTTCTTTCTTAGAAACCACTCCCAAGAGGATCAATTTTAAATCCCAACAACTCTGAATTTTGCACTTTTACCTCATTAAGATAAAGAGACATCAGCTGGATGGTAGTTTTGATGTACACATTCACTTTAGATTAGGAACTCAAACCTCCAATATAAATAAAGTGTACATTAAAAGCAAGAATAAGTGAGTTCTTTTTGCCGAAGAAGTCTTGGTATCAACAATAACATTTGCCTTCTGAGATATACTACTTCGTAATTTTGCTTCCATAATATATTATAGTAGGGTAAAAAGTCTAACCCAAATTATAAATAATTAGGTTTAGTAACTGAATTCAATTGAGCAATACGTTTTTCTGGGAAAGAAAAGTATTTTCCTTCAGTTAGCGGCCATGTCACTGAATGGGCCAATAAGGAGAAAAGGACTCATAGGTTGAAAAAGCAACATAGAAGACTGTTGAAATGGTGTTTTGTTCCTTATAGTTCTACCATTTCTCATTGCCTCAGACAGAATTGTTGCTCTTTCTGCTCAGTCTGAAAGCTGAGGAAGCTTTTCCCTAGTTTTTCTTGCTTCTAGTTCCAGTCCCATTCTCCCTATAATGGTATTGAGAATCAGACATTTGAAGATGTATGTACTTAGTAGCTTGTATATGCTGTAATTTGCATATATGAGTCACAGAAATGTCACCATGTCCATAGTAATTTTCACTTGTCAAAAAAGGTAGACTGTACCTTTTCTATTTACAAATTTAATAGTTGTTGCAAACAGCTAATATTCACTAATTAAAAACAGTCGGAATGTGTATTTACTACACAACAGAAGGTCAACTGTTACTTTTTTAATTCCTTTCCTAATTTTATTCTTCTCAAGTCTGAAATAGCTTTCTGCTTTGAAACTCTTCCTTACCTGCAGTTTTACTTTTAAGAAGAAAATTTAAAATTCAGTTAAGTATGTGATGTAGAATTTGTAAGTTCATAATTCTTTCAGCTTATACTGTATGACTGTTTACAATACATTGACACTAAATATTTTAATTTCTGTAGGTTTTATTTCATGTAGTTCCTTGAATTATATGGAGTGTTGGGGAAATTTCAAGTAAGATGATATGTATTTCTGTAATTTCTTTCATATGTCAGAATTAATTAAAAATGAAAAAAAATTTTCCCTTCTTTTTAAAGTTAAAGAAAAGCTTACTGCAGATCCTGATAGTGAGATTGCTACAACTAGCCTTCGGGTGTCCTTGATGTGCCCTGTAAGTAAGACAATAAAATAATCAAGGATGTTTGATTTTTATACATTGTTAATTTTCTTCTAAAAATAAGCATGAGAATGAATGCTATGTTATGGCAAAATTCTAAATTTATTTTCCCATTTAGACATCTTCATAATTAAGTGTTATAAGTGCAAAGAATGTAAGATTATTCATTCACTGACTAAGTAGAAGAGACCTTAAATGACAGGTATTAACAAGAGAAGAGAACTTTAGGTTCAGAGTAGTGTGTCACAGTTAATGTTATAGATAATCCATAGCTAATAAACACATGTTGAGAACTGGGTTCTTTTTTTTATTTTTTTAATAAAAAAAAAGATTTATTTATGCATACAGAACTGGGATACGGGCCAGAGGTGCAGGGGCAGTGAGAGGATTCACCAGAGACAGAGTGGGGAGCAGAATAAGCCGATCGACAAAGTACACTGCTGAGGGGGGCAGCAGGCAGGTCAGAGGTCTGCCACGCCATGTGGGTCACCTACAGGGCCGGGCATCAAACTGTAACTCACACTGAAGTGGCTGCAGCCAGCTTGCAGTGCTGAGTCCTTACTCATTGCACCAACGGGGAGGGTTCAAGAACTGGATTCTTTTATCAAAATAGTAAAGGGTATTAAAAATAGCAATAAAATTACAGGAACCTAATAGATGTTAATTTATACTAGTTTAATGAGTTAGAATGTATGCAATGTTTTACTCCGGTTGCAGTGTGCTTTTAAATTATAGAATAATTTTATTTTATGTCTCCTAACCTAAGACTGAAGATGAATCAATCAGCAACTCAGATCCTCAAGAATATTTGGTACTTAGATAATTGTAGGGGAAATACTGAAGGCTTGAGATTACTGGAAACTTAATAGTCTAATTTCAGAGCTAATGCCAGCTCACATGAAAAAAGAGTCGCCTGAACGTAGTACCAATAGTTGTGCTATTGGAATCCTGAAAAAAGAGGTGGGAGAGGTCAGGAATAATATAAAACCTTCTTTAAATCAGTAGTGTTGGAGGGAACCCTTTCCAGATGAGACAAACTTTATGAGAAATGTCATGAAATCAAGAATTTATAATATAGTTTGGACGGAATTTGGTATCCAACCATGTACAGTTTTTCAAATGGATGGAGAGTTGTAGAGTCAAAGACAGGAATAACTTGTTGAGTTCCCTCTATCTGCTCCTTATTTGACTACTTAGAAAATCTGTATGGAGGAATTTATAGATGAGGAATCCATTTACTAGAACAAGGATAAAAAGTTGGGTTTTCTGACATTATTCCATTTCTCTTGATAGTATCTATCCTATGTTGCCAAACTGGACTTTGGTATAAATATCCTGATTCTCAGTCCATCTCTCTATTGCTCTGGAAAGTGGTGATTGCAGATGTATTTCTTTCTGAAGGTTTTTTTTTTAATCATTAATTTAAACTAAGTTATTTTTATTGAGAATGAATCGCATTGGGATTGTTTATAGAAATTGGGAGCCTGGGGTTATCAAACCCAGAGTGAAGGTCTGCAGCCCCGCAGGGAAACACGTTAGTGCCTTGAGGAGGAGATGGCAGGTGCTCACGAGCTGTGCACAGACATTCAGGCATGAATTCTTTTGAGTATTTTGAGGGTCAGGTTTCCCTCCTCATTTTATAGAAACACATGAAGTTGCCATTTTTTGGTCAAAAAAGTTGGACATGGAAATTTTTTTATTCAACAAACATTGCTAGTGGCATTCTACACACGGAGAGTGCAGTGGGAAAGGAACTCATGCAACCTTTATACTTTAAGATGTTTTAGTATGCCACGTTATTTTATCAGGAAGAAAGTACTACTCTTCTGGCCCGAGGAGTTCTTCAGTTGCACAATGCTATGTTTTCTGTGTTCTTTGGAACCTGTTGTTTGGGTGGTTTTGTCCTGTTTCTTCTTCATTTTACATGTGAACAACCAAAACATAATGGCCAAACTTACTAATGGGTTTTCAGACTTTCAGACCAGTGAAATGATGTATTAGACTGGCTAAGATTCCTTCCATTGAAGAAGAAGGCACAGTTTCTTTCAAATGTGTTGATTATAGTAAAAAGAACAGTTTAAAGAAAACTAAATTTGAATTTGAAGAAAAGAAGTAAAAGATCGGACAGTATTTGATCCTACTTTTGGATAATAAACCCACGTGTTTTTTTCTCTGCTGACAGGTGACAGCAGGTCTGTTTTTGGACTGCTCTTTTGAGCTTTTCCTTAATACTCATCAGATTTTTTTCAGAGCACTTTCTAAGGAAAGTGATGGTCTCAGGCTGTGCCAGGCTGATAAGAAGTTGGGTAGCTAACTGTAGTATAGATGTATGTTAGAAGCCCAATCCAAGATGTTTTGGTCAAATCAAGTGGTTGACTGGTAGAAGTTAGATGATTAAAGTTGTTTTTGAGGAGTGTTAACTGTTGAAGAAAGCAGAATGGACTATAGCCAGCTGATTGGAAGTAACTTAGGATCTAGAATGGTGACACGGAAACTGGAGAAGAAAAAAAGGAACACATGTACTTGCAAATGCAAGGGGAACTCTGGGTTTGTTAGGCAAAAAGAGAGAAAATGATGCCTCAAGGTAAAGGAAGAAATGTCTTTTTTCACATCATGTTTGTAAAGTGATTTAGAATAAATGGAGCCTGCTTAGTGGGTTCTGAGCACACAGTCCAAAACTTATGTCTTGAGGGCCACAGGAAGGTAATTTCACAGCAATTACTGAAGAAGGATCTCAGAGTCTGTACAATTTTATTGTTGAACATTTGAATTTTATACTGGAGTTGTGTGTTGGTGTAGTCAGCTAAGTGATTTTCAGTGTGTCCTGCAGAGGAGGCTGGGTAGTTGAGGAATAGAAAAGGAAACCAGGTTTGATTTTTATCTCTTAAATTCAGTATGTTTCCCAGAACAAAGGGATATGCTGCTATTAGTAGTGTGGAACAACTGATGTGAGCCATTTTCACTTTTTTTTTTTTTTTTAGCTCTTAATGCATAATTAAGATGGATGATTTTAGATATTCTACACTGAAGTAAAAATCAGTTTAGATAGTAGTTACTTGTTACTTAAAAAGTGTTCTGTTGTTTAGACTTCATTTCATGCATAAAAACAATAAATCTCAAAATAGTATCATCTGATTGAATAGAATTTAGCACATTCATAGCTTTTTTTGGTTAGTACGTGCCATCATCAGTATTACAAATTTTTTTGGACTTTGTAGTTGGTAATATATGCCTTCTTAAGACACTAGTGTAGGATTCATTTAAAAACTAACAACATCTGTAGTTCCAGATGTTGTCATCTCTGTGTACTTGGAAACCCTAAAGCGATGACAAGAAGAAATGAAAATAGTACAGAAGAAAAGAATAGCAGTTTGCAAAGTGTGGTCCAGTGATACTTGCTGATCCCTAAAACTCTTTGAAGCAGTCCAGAGTTCATAACTACTGTTATGATAACACTGGGATTGTCCTTTCTTTGCTCATTTTCTTAAGAGTAGACAGTGATAGTCTGGGTTGCCACTTCCTAACTTTGTAATGTTTGTTTGGCTTTTTTGTGCCTCTGTTTCCTCATTTGTGGAATGGGGAAGGTGATATATAGCAACCCCAGAGGATAGTTGTTAGGTTTAATACAAAGTCATCTCTCAGTTTAATTTAAATTACTCCACTTTGTACTTTGCATGTAGGTAGAACTATATAAACCTTAGTTACTGCTGTGATGACGAGATGGCTGAATTATTTTCTTTTTAAATTACAAAACAGCTAAATACTCATTTTATAAGAAAGAAAGTAGAACTAAATTAAAAGGAAAAAGGAGAACATCCTGAAAGTCTTACCCTAAAAGTCAGGAAATTAACAATGTTATAATTTTGCTGTGACTTCTTCAAGGCTTTCTAGTACATGAAAAGAAGTTTTCTCTTTACTTCCTTTCCTTTGCCCCCTTTCTAACCCTTCCCCATTTATTCTACCATTTGATCAGTAAATAGCAAGCACGTGCTCCATGCTAGCTACTGTGCTCTGAACTTGTATTACAATGATTAACATTGACATAGACCATGTCCTTTTGGGACTCATAGTAGGAATGACAGATTTTCTGTCAGGATAACACAGCTGGTTATAAACTGAAGATATCTTCTATAAGGGAAGTTTGAAAGTTTGTACAGAAAGACTTGATCTGACCTAGTCTGGGTATATGTTTTCCTACTGGTACACATCTACAAACTGGAATGAGAATTTAAATAAAACTATAGTTATATAAAAATAAATTGAAATATCAACACACGTAGTTACATAAAAGACTTTAGTAAGTGAAAAATATATTTGCAGTTCATATCACATACATGAGACTGATTAATGTAGTGGTTCTATAAGTAGATAACCAAAGGGAATTAGGAAGGGTTATGAGTACATGGAAACATAAATGACTCTTAGAAGTGAAGAAGTAGGCTCAGCTTCCCTTAAAAGGGAAATATAGTCACACTTTTCACCTGTCAGATTGATAGAGGTCTAAGAATTCATGAGCGACAGAGTTAGGGATAAACAAGCACATTCATACATGCATATGCGTAAAACAGTAGGTAACATCTGTAGAAGTTTGTCAATGTGACAGTCATCAGTGCACATTCCCTTTTTCCCAAGAAGTTCACTTCTAGGATTTATCCTATAGATGTTTATTATAGCATTATTAGTAGTGATAAGAGACTGTCCATCACTACGGTACTGCTTCAATAAATAATGATCTCTCTGTATCATATACCACATATCAATTATACTTTTCATATTGTGATAATTTATGCACTGATAGATGTGAAACAGTCATGAACGCTAAGGTATACTGTGACAGTAGGTGCAGAATTGTGTATTGCATGCCACCATTTGTGGAAAAACACATTTTTAAAAAGATTTGTTTATTTATGCATACATGAACTGGGGTATAGAATGAGAAGATTCACCAGAGACAGAGTGGGGAGCAGAACAGGTGGATCTGCTGGAATGCACTGCTGAGAGGAGCAGTGGGTGAGTCAGGAAAGGTCTGCTGTGCCATGTGGATCACCCTCCTGGCTGGGGATCAAATTTATGCTGCAATGGCTGCGGATAGCTTTGTAGTCCTGCACTTTAACCCCTTTTGCCATTAGGGAGGGCCCCTGGAAGGTGTATTTTTAAATACATACTTAATTATGCATAAAACAGCTATGAAAGACTATTCCAGAGATTGATAACTAGTTCCCTCTAGAACAGGTAAAGAGGAGGTATGTTTTCACGGATATATAGCTTTTCCTACCTGTGATGTATTTGCAAAAAAAGAAAAAAAAAGTTTTTTTAAAAGTCAAAGGGGAATGAATACAAAAAAATATAAATAGTGATGATGCAAATAATTTCTGGTTTGAATTTTCTTTTTCATTTTCAGCATCTTTAAGTATGATTTCTTCAGTCTTCTGTCTTCTTTGAGGCTTTGTTCTCCTACCTGAAATGGTTTCTCATTCTCTGTAGTTAGGAAAAATGAGATTGACAATCCCGTGCCGTGCAGTGACTTGTACACATCTGCAGTGTTTTGATGCTGCCCTTTATTTGCAAATGAATGAGAAGAAGCCCACCTGGATTTGTCCCGTGTGTGACAAAAAAGCTGCCTATGAAAGTCTAATATTAGATGGGTAAGTAGAGCTAGTAGCTCTTAGCCATGCCATCCAGATATTTGTGTTTTCTGACTTATACTTCATTATATTGAATCTTATTTTTAAACTGTGATTAGTGTCCTCTTTATAACAGTTTGTTGGGGGTATGAGACTTGTGGTTTCCTTTAACTTATGCTTTTTAAGATTGTATTTCATAGCACATTAAAGATGAAAATCCAGTCATTTTGCTTACTTAGAACTTTTGAAGAAACAATTAGTGTCTCTACAAAAATACACAGTAAATAGATGGAGTTGCACAGATGTTCAATTTGCAGTTGGAATTAATGCATAGATTTTTCTGACTTGGAGTTGACTCTCTAAGCGTTACGTTGCATGTGTAATATAGTTGTCAACAAGTGTGATATACCCCTCCTTTTATTGAATAACACTTAAAAAAAATTGGAATAGCTTGTGTCAACCAAGTATCAGTATATGATTTAGAAAATACAATTAATGAAGATTAAGATAATCAAAATCTCATCCTATGGTGGTGAATTTTTTACTGACATATTAAAAAGATTGAAACCACACTTTGTATAGTAATTTGTATGTACATAGGATTTTTTTCTCACCAAATAATTAAAAGCCAGTCTAGATCTTGAAAGATTCTTGTACAGCAAATTTTTCTTAAGATTTAAAAGAAATTTGATAATGATGAGTAAGTACAACTTGTTTCTCTTTATGTATTTTGCTAGATTTTTACTTGTTTCATCTTTTAAACTTATTTTGAACAACTTTCAAATATAAAAGAAGTTGCACCTGCAGCAGTTTCCTGTATAATTTGACCCAGATACCCATGTGTTAACATTTTGCCATATTTGTTTCTTCACCTTCCCATTCATGCATGTGCGCACGCACACACACCTTTCTGGTGTATGTGTTTAGAGATGATGATTAAACTATTTTCAAAATTTTTTGAACCATTAATATTTTAGGGTATGTTTCCTAAATTCTTGACATTCCGTTATGTGGGTATACTACTAATAATTTGAATATTTTTCTGCCATTCTAAAGTATTTTTCTCTGCTTTTTCTGTCTTAAGTTACCTTGTGGTAACATTTTTGAAGCTGTTTTTTGTATATTTCCTTAAATCCTTAGATACTGAAATACAGAATCAGATTATAAAATCAGAATTTTAAGGTTTTGCTATTTATTATAAGATATTAAAATGCAGAATCAGATTATGAAATTAGAATTTTAATGTTTTTACTATTTATTATTAAGATACCTTCAAGAAGGACTAAACTACTTTCATAGTAAGTTTGTTCACTTGCTTGTCAGCATTGTTTAAGTTCTCGGTCTTCTTACCAACTGATCATATTAAATACTGTTTTTAAAGTGCCTCTTATCACTTGTCTAAAGTGTGCAGTGTAAAAATGCCAGAGCAAACATTCATTCTTATATAGTAGTGTTTCTTTTGTCTCCAAGGTACTATGTATTACATTATTATTTCATCTTTGAACAAAGCCATTGATTACACTTAAGTGTTTTTTAATTGGCTTATAGGCTTTTTATGGAAATTCTCAATGACTGTTCTGATGTGGATGAGATCAAATTCCAAGAAGATGGTTCTTGGTGTCCAATGAGACCGAAGAAAGAAGCTATGAAAGTATCCAGCCAACCGTGTACAAAAATAGAAAGTATGTGCAGAGGGGCAGCAGGGGACAAAGCACTGAGATGTGGACAGCATTCTCTTGTACTGAGCTTGGCCGCTAGGACTCCATTTGCCATTCGCTTTGCTGACTTTATCTCTTAATCATCTATTACATACGTGATTTTTCTTAAATTAGTTTTATTCTTTAAGAAGTATGTTGAAGTTTATACTATTTATAATCTACTTTCTCATAATTTTTTTTTATATAAAGTAAATGAAACAGTCACCTAAAATCATCTTTACATATGGTGTTTCTTATAAGAAGAGAAGAGATAAATGACATTTCTGTGGACAGTTATTACGTTGTCCAGGTGGAGGTGTGGCTAGACAGACTATCGTCCATTGCTGGGCAGGTGGCCACGGGTTGATTGCTTAAAAACTGAGCAAATTAAAAAAAAAAACAAAACAAAAAACTGAGCAAATTGGTTCTGTTTCTTTGTGAAATAATTGACCATTGCTTTGGTTACCCAGGATGAACTTTCAGTTTAAACTTTCTGCACCTGTCCATACTGAGTGGGGCAATTAAGACCAGTCTCAGTCATCGAAACCCATAGGTGAACTGAAAGTTTCTATTAATCTGACATAGTCTACTTACTGCAACTGAGTTTTGTGTTGACTATATTTGACATTTTATCAATGTAATAATAGCATATAATGTCCAAATGTAATAATAGCATATAATGTCCAAACTAGAAAGAGGAAAAGTAAAGGAGTCTTGTCGTTAAGGGTAGAACAGTCAAAGTTTCCCTCATCTTTGAGGAAAACAGTAATTTAGTTGTTTGGTTGCTCCTCTTATCAGTTATCATTCATTTCCTGCTAAATAGTTTATATTTTCCTATGAAATGGCAACTATTCTGGTGAGCAGAAGAGAGGTACAAAGAGATGAGCAGATAATTGATAATAAAAGGTATAGATGTCTGAGTAAGTTAAGTGAGCAGTTTGGAGTATTTTCAACTTTAGAAGGTTCTGTTTATCTAGTGCTGGCTTAAGGTGAAACACCTGCGTTCCTTTGCTAGCCTGGAACTGATTCTGACTTAACATTGCCACATGTCTGTGAGAAGACAAAGCCAGTGAAGTCAAATACTCTCATCCGTGGCAGGAGACCTTCCTCCTTCCTCCATAAGTCTGTGAAATGATTCTTGCTGCTTATGTGGGGAGACAGTGTGAGTAGCAGGTTCTTTGCCAATTCATTGACAGCACTGGGAAGCAGCTAAGGGCAAGGTTAAGGAGGCTTGATCCTGAGTCAAAGCATAGAGGGCATCTTTCCCCCCCAGATCAGCAGTCATTTTATAGACAGATGTCTGGAATTAGGGAGTTGGTCTCTGCCCATGGGGCAGTTTGTGGCTGTACTGGCTATGCATTCTTCTTGCTATACTGCACAGTTGAATTCTTAAGGACTAGAGTTTGTATTACACCTTTGATATATATTTTTCTTTTGTTTTCTAAATGCAGGTTCAAGTGTCCTCAGTAAGCCTTGTTCTGTGACTGTAGCCAATGAGGCAAGCAAGAAGAAAGTGGATGTTATTGATCTAACAATAGAAAGTTCTTCTGATGAAGAGGAAGACCCTCCTGCCAAAAGAAAATGCATCTTTATGTCAGAAACACAAAGCAGCCCAACCAAAGGGTTTGTTAATTTATAGTTCACTATTGTTTATTATACTTGGAACTAACTGGTCTTGGGATAGATTTGTAAATGTCTCTGTGAGTTTCATAACTATAGAAGGCTGTTTTAATTTGCCTTTATTCTATTGAAATGTTTTCAAGTGAAATGTTTATAGAAAGGCAAATTTTGATGAAGAAAATGTTCCCATCTTTGGGAAGTGGGAGTCGAGAGTTTCTCATGTCTAAGTTATCTTATATTTGTTTTATTTAATACTTGGTACATTTTCTTGAGTCTATTTATAAGGAGTAAATTTACCATCCCAGACCAATCTGAGGAGGCATGGTGTAATGATGTGGAGTGGGGAATCTGGAAAGTGGATTTCAGTTCTGGCACCTCTGCTTAACTCTTGCTCTGTTATCTTGGATGAATACTTAATTTGTTTGAGTTTCCTTTTTCTCTTCTGTAAAATGAACTTGAATAATGCCTACCTCATAAGATTATTTTAAGGTTTCAATAGATGACAAAAGAATTTAGTTTCAGTGTTAGGCACATGGTAGTTTCTCTATTGCCTTTTCTTCTCATCCTCCCCAGGGCAAAATATGGACAAGTAAATGCATTCTAGCATATACTCTTTATAATTTCTCTGGCAGAAACCATTAAATGACTGGTCTAAGTATTTAGCAATACTTGCTTCTTATATGGGGATTTGGAAACCTATAAGAATGTGTCAGAGCATCTCTTGACATCCCATTACTGCAGATCTGAGCACGCCACACTCATCACTAGTCTCTCAATGCACTCATGTTTTCTAGTGACTTCACTGGGGTATAATAAACATGTCATAAGATTCACCAGTCTTAAATATTCACCTGTACGAGTTTAAGTATTCACCTGTACAAGTAAATGATTTTAGTACGTCATCATCTCATTGTCACAGTTAAGTTGCAGAATATTTCTAACACTCAGAAAACTTCTTTCATCTTCCTTTCCAGTTCATTATCACTCACACCCAAAATCTAGGCCACCATTGATTTTTTTTTTTCCATCTTTGTAAATCTTATTGTTCTATACATTTTATATAAGTAGACTCGGTGCACTTCTTGCACCTTTTTTTTTAATCAGTATTTTTGAAACCAATAGAATTAAATGATTTGTGCTGCTTTCTTCATTATTAAAATGCTTGTATGTTCAGGTGTGACCTACATATCACAGTAATGATGTATATTTTAATCAGAATTTTTTTTTGTTGTGGAACCAAAATGCTAAAAATACTTTGAAAAAATACTTTTTTCCTTTTTTTTTTAAGAAGACTTAGGACTTACTGTTTCTTTTAGGCAATTTGGCACTTCTAGACTGTAAATGATAAAAAATGAAGCCTTTTTTTTTTTAAATGGTTGCTGGAGGAAGAACCAGGGTTATGAGTACTCACATATGATATTTCCAGACTTACTCTGTGTTTATATCCTTTAGAATATTCTGGAAAAACATGGGTTGCATGATGATAGACATAGAGATGGGGGACCTCACGGATTGAGGTGGCCTTGGAGGGTAGATCTGGTGGCATACTGGAAAGGTCTTGGCCGCTGTCTGTCCTGTAGTATTTGATGAGGACGTGAAACCTAGAGGAATACCATAGATATTTGATGACAGAATCTTAAATCACCACAAGGAATAAAGGTAGTTCATACCTGTGGCCAGCTACCAGAGAGATAGATGTAAGACTCCTCATCTAGATGAAAAAGAAAATGAAAATTAACAGTGTTAAGCATAAGGTAAAAATTTGACTAAATCAGCAAATCTTGGTTAAAAAGCTCTAAATTGCACCTACATAGCTAGCTCATCCCATAACTCAGTAGGACTCTTCGCACCCAAACTAGATTTACATTTCAACAGCCATTCAGAAAACCCTTCTGAAACAGGCTCACATGGTAAGATAAAAGAAAGTTCTGAATTCAGTCTTGGGAAATCGTTTAATTATGTATTAAAACGGCATCCATTACCAAGTAAGGGTTTATTTGAGAATGCTTTAATATCAGAAAATACAGAAGATACAGTGATAAAAATTAAGAGTGTTTTGAGAAATGACAAATTCTAAAATTAAATTGAAAAACAAATAAAAGTAAAAAAGGAGATATGTTGATAAAAAATAAATTTTATATAGTTTTCTTAATAGATGCAAGCTGGAAAGGCTTTCAGTAAATTAATAGCCATTCTTGATAGAATCTCTGAAATATCAGAATTCATTTACTAGGTTTTTTTTTTTTAAGGATTTATTTATTTATGTATATAGAAGTGAGTACAAGCCAGAGGTGCAGGGGCAGTGAGAGGATTCACCAGAGACAGAGTGGGGAGCAGATCAGGCAGATGGACAAAGTAAACTGCTGAGGGGAGCAGTGGGCAAGACAGGAGAGGTCTGTCACGCCATGTGGGGCACCTCCAGGGCAGGGGATCGAACTTGCACTGAAGCTGCTGCGGCTCATTTGCAGTGCTGCGCTTTAACCCACTGCACCACCAGGGAGGGCCTCATTTACTTGTTTTAAGAATAACTATTCAAGCTGATTTGTTCTTAGGCAGCATAGTAGAAGAAATACAGTGTCTTGGTTACATACTGATTCCATTTTCGTTCCACTTTAAGCTAAATAGCCCTCATTTGGAGCATTTCATCAGTGCTGCTCATTAAGGCTAATGAGGAAAGCAGAGGAGGATAACCGGGGGGGGGAACACGCCACTGTCACGATGGGAGCAGTTAAAAGCAGAGCATTATGGGCCCTTCCTGGTGGCGCAGCGGATTAAAGCACAGCACTGAGAAGCTATAAGCCACTTCCGCATGAGTTCGATTCCCGCCTGCCCCGGAGGTGACCACAAGGCGCGGCAGACCTCTCCTGACCTGCCCACTGCTCCCCTTAGCAGTGTACTTCGTCGATCTGCCTGTTCTGCAGCCCACTCCGTCTCTGGTGAAGCTTCTCACCACCCCTGAGCCTCTGGCCTGTGCCCCCGTTCTGCATGCACAAATAAATAAATCTTTAAAAAAAAAAAAAAAAAAGCAGAGCATTATGGTGATAGCTACCTTGAGTTCTTAAAAGAGAGACGTTGATAACTGGGATCAGTTTAGTCTTTGTTACAACTTTTGGCACATTTAAGTCAAGTAGAGGAGCATGAGTGAGCCTCTCCAGTGCTGTGGGAGGACTCTGGTTACATCACTTCTGCAGAACCTTCCAGGTATTACATTTCTGTGGTTTTGTTCTGGTCCTGTTTTTCATACCCTCTCTGGTGGCTCAGAATCTAGAACTTTAATGGTTTTTCTCTGCTTAGTTAAGTTTACTGTAGAAAGACTTGGTCAGTAATAGCAGAAGAGAAAATAAAGTGGTATGAAAAACCAGGAAAACTGTTGCAATTTAGAAATGATGTGAAGTTACTTTTTAAGAAGTATTGTTTTAGTGTCCTTAGAGGTTTGCAAAGCACCAAAAGAAAGATTCATTCCTCTTGGAGCAGCCACTGTTAACCTTTAAAAGAAAAAAAAAAGATTTGGGGCACAGGCCAGAGGGGTGGGGGGTGAGAGTGTTCACCAGAGACAGAGAGGGTAGCAGAACAGGCAGATCGACGAAGTACACTGCTGAGGGGAGCAGTGTGCGGGTCAGGAGAGGTCTGCCACTCACATGGGTCAGCTCCCTGGCCAGGGATTGAACCCATGCTGCAGTGACTGTGGATAGCTTCATAATGAGGTGCTTTACCCTGTTGCACCACCAGGGAGGGCCTCACTTTTAACCTTTTGATGGTAATCCTTCTAGTCCCTTCCCTTGGACATATCTATTAGAGTGTTTAAAATCAGTCATATAACATCTATGGAAGAAGGTATCATAATTTAAGACCTTCTTTAGAAAATGTGTAGTATTTTTCTTCATCAAAAGATACATTAAAATATTATACCCTTTGCCTAGAAATTGAATGTTTGCTTTTGTCATTAACAAAGAGGTATTCTAAAGGCAGGAGCAAAGAATAAGGATAAATAAGCATGTCTCCAGAGTAAGAACGATTAAAATTGGTATCAAAGTTAGATTTTTTTTTATATAGTTCTATGGTTATAAAGTGGAAGCACAGTGAATTTCAGATTTATAGATTAAAAATTAAAGTTTCTGAATTGTGAGCTCATTTTTCAGACCATCTAAGTCTGGGCCAAATATAAGGAATTTAGTGCTCCCAGCATATGGTCCAGAGTACTAGCATTTGCTGTCCATTGGCATTCCATTATGTGCAGGTTATTATAAAGTATGTAAAGACACATGCATAGTGCATGGTACTTGCCCATGTGTGTGTTTAACAGTCAGCAAATATTAAAATTTATAATTACTTTATAACATATGTTTTATGCCCATAATTTCACCAGATGGTGCTATTTATATTACTCCATGGTCCCCTATTACTCCACATTTATATTAAAGCATCTAGTTTTTTGCACAGGCTTTGGGATCATTGAACCTTTCTGAATTTTGAAAGTTCTCTAAGAACGAAAGTCTCCTACCAGGACATAACGTGATGGTCATAAAAAGCCACTGATTTCACCCATTCTGTATATAGCTGAGTTTGTGTTAAAAAGTTGTCAAGTTCAAATAGGAATGAACATACTCTAAATAGTTTACCAAATGTTTGCTAAGAGTTTTGATTGAATAACCTGTAAAATCCATTGGATTTTAACATTCCCACATATTGTGACAGTCAACATTTTTTATTGGAAAAATGAGGGCTAGTCACATAATTACTTAAAGTACACTTTGATGTAATGAGAATGGAACATGGTGTAATGAGAATGGAACACATACCAAGTTGGGTATCACTGTGGTGACAGAAAGTGTGTGGAGACACTGAGTAGACTCTTGTCTACTCTGATAGCAGCCAGGTAGCAGTTTTCTCGACTTGTGAAAGTTGAAGGATCAATGCAAAAGAAAGTAAATCTCCAAAGGGAGACATCAGTGAAAGAGATGGAGGGCCAAGAGGAAGGTACATACTGTGTTTTTCTTGTAAACCTTAAGTTTTATAATCAATTTTTTTCAGTGTTTTGAGAAAAAGTGATAAAGTGTGCATGTAAGCAGAAAATTTTCAAAATAAATCATGTGTGTTGTGTATATTTTCAAAATGGATCTTAGATTTAAAAAATAAAATAAAATTAAGAGATTAATACCATGAGGCAGCCAGAATTGTGGGAGCAACTTTTTAAAGCCCTTCCCTGGCATTGACATAGACCGGCTTTCCCCCCCTGTTCTGCTGTGTCTCCTTGCCCAAGTTGGTAGGCATTCCTGTGTGAGAAGTAGGGACATGTGTAACTTAGACTTTTATTCCCGTAGAGACCACAGTTTGCAAATCTTCAGGAAAAGATGAGTTTTGTTTTTTTTTTTTTAATATATAATAGCTTATTTTCCCATCATTTTGTGCCTTTTTCCATCTCAGTTGTAATCCCCGTGGTGATGGCTTCCCATCACTAAATCACCCATGTGCCATCAACGTAGTCCACTGCATTTCCCTCCCCCCAGTTTTTTGAGCCCACTCTCCACTCTACCCCATAAAATGTCTCTGGTATTTAGCTGTTCATTACTATTGTTATTTTCTCGCCTGGTCCCCGTTCTACTCCTATGAGTGAGACCATCCGGTATTTTTCCTTTGCTTTCTGGCTTATTTTACTAAGCATGAAAAAGATGAGTTTTTATACAGTTTAACTTACTTGTTTTCATCCCAAGGTATCCTGATTTAAATGTAAAATCTTAGGAGTCCTCTATTTTAATTGGAGGTTTCTTAATCGATAAAATTACTAATACTATCCACATATATATCACATACACATTGATAAAAGGAACTGTAAAATGTTTTTGTATTTGTGGAACAAAGTGTGATATATTAGTCCAGCACTGTACATTATGTTTTAATGCCAACTTGCTCTTATGTCACAGCTGCTGTTGAGAGCCAGCATACATTCATGTTAAAAATGAAGATTGTTATGAAAGAGGAGAGTGGAGGACTGTGTAGTGAGTAGCTGCCATGTAGCTGGTATTGAGATGCAGTGACTTAATGACTGAGTATGCCCAGTGGTGCAGCCCTGTGAACTAACAGCCAGATTGTTTGTAATTTTCCATGCTATTTAAAACAGGGTGCTCATGTATCAGCCATCTTCTGTAAGGGTGCCCAGTGTGACTTCGGTTGATCCTGCTGCTATTCCGCCTTCATTAACAGACTACTCAGTACCATTCCACCACACGCCAATATCAAGCATGTCATCAGATTTGCCAGGTATGTGCAGTTTTTTGTTTCATTTTTACCTAGTTTTATTATTTATTTTCACTCTTAATCTGTGGAACAAAATGTTTTAAATAAAAATGCTAAGGGAACTTGAAGTCTTTGTGGACAGATAATTATCTGTTTGATAGGACACATTCAGACCCTGTCTATATCACTTCAACTACAGAATAATCTAGATGCCTGATAATGGGTAAAACAGTAGGATAGTAGGGCAGTCCGAAAATTTTGTAGGTTTTATTCTCTCTCGTAGATAATTTGTACTCAAGTTATTTTTCCTTCTATCCTAGAAGTGTCACAGATTAGGGATAGTATTTTTCCATGCTTTTCTTGGTAGCCTATCACTTCATGCTAGCCCACCAGGACTTTAGAATATACTGGTTCTTGTGGGATCACTAGTATCTACCAAATACATTTAACTCTTCAGATTTTTTTTCCCTACAAAGATGGAATATACTAGCCATCCTCCTAAAACACTGCTTAAAGTTTGGGACCTAATTTATATATATATCAACTCTATTTTTAAAAAAATTCAAGTTTGCTTGAATTACTATAGTACAAAGACCTGATGGGCAATCAGCAGCCATGGAAAATGTCAGCTGCTCCTCGCTCCATAGCTATTGTTTTCCCAGACCTTTCTTTTATCAGTCATATTTGAGAAAGTCAGAACTAGTACCTTAATACTCATGGCTCTTTCTTTTCTCAGAAAAGCCCTTTCAGTGGAATACCGTTTCTTTCCTTCTGTTATTACTTTTCTAAATTTATGAGGTTAATTTTAAACTGTGATTATCCTTCCTATCCCTCGTTAGTGAGGTCTTCATTTTAAGCACAATATTTATTCTGTTGTGCAAAATTCATGTTACTGAAACAGTTAAGATTTGTCTGACCCAGTGTAATTTTAACACTTGAAATTTTTTGAGCTTATTTGAATAAAATTTAATGGAAAAGATGATACTAAAAGTTAATATCCATCAAAAAATATAAAGACTTTGTTTTTTAATACATATGTTTACTACATATGTATTTTGGGATTGGTATTTTAGTTTGTAAGCCCAGCTAGCACCAGTTCCAGAAAGCTTTGTGACATACAGACTTGATGCTAAGGTACAGGTTTAGTTTCATAGTCAGTGACAAAGTCCTAACTGCCATGTTTTGCTTTAGCCTTGATTAGTTTTGAGTGAAATTGAAGAGCTGTCCACAGCTCATTTTAGTGTTTTAAAAAAGCATTCCAGAAGGACTCATTTCCAGAAGATTATGACTTAAAAATTATTCCTTAAACAAACAAACAAAAAATGCATTTGTATACAAAAAGTGACTTTTGGCCATTTAGTAACAGATTAGAGGCACTTTATAAATCATTTGCTCTGTTTTCAAATTATCTGCATTAATTTTGGAGAATTTGAATTAATTTGTAAAATGTGGACATTTTAGAAAAATGCAGTAAAGTATGTTAACTGTATTTCATAGAGTAAATTTCAGGCTGGTATCAAGGAACTAAAACTAATATACAGGGCTGATACTAGTGATTAAATGTTGAATACTCTCTTGCCACATGATAATATGAATAGTTAAGATCTATTGTACTTCAGAAGAATAAGCAGTTTATTGGCATTTATGAATTATAAAGCAGCTACTACATCTAAATAGTTTTTACTCTGGTTTTATTGTTAATGTACTCTATAATTAGTAATTACCTTGGTTTTATTTTGTGCATAACTTCTATGTAATTAGTGTAATTTTCATGTAATTACTTTTGATATTTAGAATTTTAATAATTTATAATAAAATATTAAATAGAACACCAAGAATGGAGATATGACAGAGTTTTAATACATTTCTTAACATTCCTTTTAAACATCATAAACATGAATCTTCTGAATCTGCAGGAGAACAAAGAAGAAATGATATTAATAATGAACTGCAGCTTGGAACATCTTCTGATACTGTGCAACAGTGAATACAAAATAAAACAAATTATTTGTGTTTATGGAATGGAAAACACCTTGATTATTTCAAGAAAAAATATGACTGCCTTATTTTTGCTAGTGCCATATTGTCAGGTGCGAATGGTGCTCAAAAGTTGTATCATTAAAATTTGAAAGTGCTAAACAGTTACATATATTAATTATGTAGCAATTATGTTTTGTTACAAGTTCATGGCTCAAGTAAGGAAAATGTGTTGTTATTAATGAGAGAAAACACCTAACTGAGTCCATTTCACATAAAGAAACATTTAAAATTAAACACTAGTTTTGTCAGTGTTAAAAACATTTAGAATGTACTACCAGAATTTTTAATACCACCTGCTTTTTAGTTAAAAATAAAACTGAGCATTTTCAACTATGAAATACTTAAGAGGGCACAGAAATCTACCAATATATAACTTACTGCAATGGAAAATTTATGGTGAAATAAGAACATTTTGCTGACTGTATAATAAAGCACGATGGTAACATTTTTAGTAACAATCCAAGAAACTTCATATATTTTATATGGAGTTTAATAGTTCTCTTAAAATGTAAAATACAAGACTGATAATAGCTTGACATTTTTTTATTAGGAGGAAAGACGTCTGAATTATATCAAGTTTCAGTGTTGGAGTTGAGGAAAAAAATGATTTCAGTGAGAAATTTGCATTAAACCTCTTGGTTTTTTAGCATCTGTATAATGTTAGGGAGGAAGTTGAGAGCTTCAGAGTTTTAGGAAAATTTCTAGGTATTTTATTCTAGCATTGTATAAGCTATCATTCCTTATGAATAAGGTATCAAAAGATAAGGCCAAGGAAATGTCTTAAATCTTTTCTCAGTAGTCCATAAAATTGCTGGCACAGATGAACTAACTATCATCAAAGAAAACTATCACACATCCTAAGAAATGGGAATTGAAAGAATGAAAACATGAAGAGCCTTTCTGCCTTGAAAGTACCGGAGGGCAACCTACAGTACTAGAGCTGAATAATATATCAAATTGTATATTTTTTTAAGTTGTGAAGTTATGAAGTAGGCATGGTTAACGTCTAGACACAGAGCATTTTTGAATGATTTGGCTTTATTGCACACTATTCCAACAGATGTCAACCCTCTCTTTAGATTCATAAGGAAATTACAGTTATTCAAATCAGCTAAGCTATTTAATAATCATTATGAAGTGAACATATAAAATTAAACTATAAAAAGTAGAAGCTATTATAAGAAGCCTAACAGAATAAAATCGACCGAATAAATGGCATGCCAATAAGCTATTTTTATAAATTGTATAGTAAAACAGCAGTTACTACTAATTTCTGTGGAAAATATTTCTGAGTGTCCCAGACCCACAATATAACCTGCCAAACCATACCAAATAACACATCACGCCTCAAAACAGCATGGATGTGAAGGTAAAACAGGGGCGACGCACAACCTGAAAGGGCGGGAGGAGCAGGGCGGTGTCACTTCCGCTGGAGGCGCGTTCTCCCGTTAGAACTAGCTGCAAAAGGAAAACTCTTCCCCTGTTACTTTATATTGTAAGAGTGAAAGTCCTCCTTGGATTCTTTTGGTCAGCACTAACAGGTTGTAACACAGGTCTTTCCTGAAGTGGAAGTGGCATAAGGGGCACTTCTGAAAAGTGGAGTTATCTGCAGTAGAATGTTTTGAATATAAAGCACTCTCAGGAATAATTATAAGGGCTAGAAGATTTGAATTGTAGAAACAGAGGCACTTGATGGAATACACCAATGTGAAGAGACACTCTGCTGTTGAGATGTCACCCATTGATCATAAATTTTATGGGAAAGTTGTTGGAAAGGTTTGTTGCGCTGCCCGCTGTCTCCTGTATCATATAGTTTGTGACAGCCACATGAAGTCATATCAACAATTAGGAAAAATGCTTTAGAAATTGAGTTTTTCCCCTGATTGTTGTTATAGCTTATATCATTTGATCATAACCTTATATCCTCTCTAGAGATTATAAGGGAATAAGTAGACTTAAAATTTTTGATTTATTTTACTCATATTGGTCATTAAATATTTTTAATGTCCCCATTAGTGTTCTCTATTTTGAATAATGGCATAATGGTATCGTATCAGACTTTTACTCTATGTGATTGTTAAAGTGGAGGTGATGTGGAATCCAGTATATAGAAATTCAAAGAATCAAATAAAAATAGGCCTGTCTTAGTGACCTAGTACATGATTTGTTTTAATGTTTTGAAATTTAGGCAAACTGACTTTGAAGTTTACTATTTGATTTTTCAGACCTGAAATTTACTACTTGCAACTTTAATACTTCAAAATGGCAATACTGGGCAATCTTGTCTACACTCCTATTTGTGAAGTATAATTGGAGAATCCCAGATCTTTGGTTTAGAAAGCACATTAGCTTACAGCCCAGTAAACTTGGATAAGATCAGCTTGTTAGTGAGCTGAAGTTAGTGTTTGCTTTGTGCAGCGAGGTGGGCTGTGTGCGACTTGATGGACAGGGACAGAGAGCTATCCATGCAAAAGACGTCTGTTTAAAAAGTGGCATTTTAGATAAAGTTCAATGTGGTGCATTTCTTAAAAAATAAATGTGAAATATCTTATGAGCCTAAGTATGTTTTTTTTTTTTCTTTTTTGGTTTCTTACTCTGTTAAGTGGTGAAGGGGAAAAGTTTACCCTGACTAGTTCCACTTCTCTGGAAATTTTTGAACTGCCTTAAAGTCACTGGGAGGTGTTTTTCCAGTTATTTTGTCAGAAAATATGTTTATTTGGGGGTTTTGTGCACATGAAATATCACTGATTCATGGTGTAGAACGTCCCTATGGCAAAATGGTAAGCTCTCATTCCCAAATGTTTTGTGACTCATGAAAGTACAAAATGACTTGGGGAGATAAATTCTTGTCTCCAGAATAAGAGACAAATATTAACAAAGCATTTTTGTTTTAGGTTTGGATTTTCTTTCCCTTATTCCAGTTGATCCCCAGGTATGTATCCTGAATTTAAGCAACTAATTTGTATTTGATTGTTGGTTATGTCATACTAACTAAAAATGACCAGTTGCATAAAATCAGGACAGTCCACTCTCAATTATTCAAACTGATAGAAAGGAAGTACTTTATAAAAATTTACACTTTCATTTGGAGGAGTAAAGTTTGCTGTTTTTAACGATAATTTTTGCCTTAGTGCTTCAAGTTTTAAAATGATGTTTTACCTAGTGTATAACCATTTGACTTTTCTTATGATTAAGTGATGAGAATGAAGGGAAGAAGCAATGCCAGAGGGCCAGAATGTAAAACTTAACAAAGATAATTTGTAAAAGACTTTGTTATGTAAGACATGAACCATTAGCTTGATTCTCCCTTATTTTTAAAAGCAGATTCAGACTGCAGATATCCCAATCTAAAGTTGGTATAAACCAGTTCCTTTTTTTCTGTCAGAGATAAGAAGGCCTGGGTATTCTAAGTTCAGACATGAAGACCTTGCCATGAGCTTGGAGGCCACTGCCAGGCTAGGGCGGAGGCAGAGCAGAGGAGTACAAGGCATGACAAAAGCCTAAGGGGAAGTGAAGCAGAGGGACTCAGAGAATTGTTGAAAGAAAACAGTCTAAGAAGAGCGTGGGTCCCTGCTTCATAGACTGCTGGGACCAGCTAGTCTCTGGGCTCATGTTGTCAGCCAGAGACAGCACTGGGCAAAGTGCAGAAAGTGGAATTTCTTCTCACCCCGAGTTCACTTTGTTACATCAGGAGATTCTGTAGCCAAGAAGTTGCTGTCTGTTTTTCTAGGAAGTGCATTCTTTTGACTTACAGTGTTGCTCTGAACCCCTTTTATTAAAGAAGTGATCTCAGACCTGAAGATTTATTTCATTAGTGCTGTTTGACATACTTAGTGGCAAGCTAACAATTGAGAAGTGAACAGAAGAGTAAGCTTGCACCTTCCATTTTATTTTAGAAATCCCATATTGCCTCCTTAATACCTGCTCATCCCTCCGCAGATATTTGCAGATCACATAAAGGGTACAGAGTTAGCAGTAAAATGGCTGCAACTTGAGTGTAATTGAAGGCATAGAACCTGCTGGTAGCCTACAGCTGTAGTATGTAGCATTCAGTAACTGCCTGAGAGGTAGCAGAAGTGAAATGTAAGTTTCTGGGCTATCTTCCTCAGTCTTACTCCAATTTCACTGGAAAGTTGGAAATTGATTTTAGAGAGGAAATTCAATACCTGACTATCTTCAGAACTCCTGCTCCGCCTTAGCTACTGTCCCCTGAATCTCTTGTGTGTGTAGCAGTCATTTTATTGACAAGCTTTCTTTTTTCTTTTTGAAAAGCAGTCTGAATTTTAACTTGTTGCTTTTCTACTGACTAACAGCTTAAAGATGGGCTGTTCTTATTGAATGGGCCTTGAAGATCTTGTAGTCTAAACCAATTCAGTTTTAGATTACAGTTTTGGAGTTAGTATCTGGAGTGATAGACTAAATAATACATGAATTTAAAATATTGTTCATATATCTTTAGTGATCGTTCATAAAATTAACCTAATGACAGACTTAGGACATCTTTTACACTGTTTACTAGATTTCACTTGCTCAATTTACTAAAACAATAGCAGTTGTTTTTCATATAAAATACTCTACAATGATAAAAAGTTTTTAGCTCTTCTCTATTTCTCTTGGCCAGTATTAGAATCATAAACTCAGATTTGAATTTGTCTAAGAATCAGTAACTAAGATGAGAATGTAACTTGACATTTAAACTCCTGGAGAGATGAAAACGCATCACAAGGAAGACTAGATTAGATCTCCTTTGAGATTCATTCTGAAATTTTGTGATTGCAAGAGAGGATTCTCTGATTTGAGTAGTCTGCTGTATAGCTACCCTCCATTCTCTACCCTCCAGTCTCTAGTTTGTAACAAATTCATAGGTATTGTTCTATTACATGCAAGGGAGTCAAACACATCAACATGTCTGTTAGGAAATTTTGAAAGATTTGAATTTTCTATTAGCATTCAGCTTAATATTATAAAAATAGGTCTTTATTAGCCTTTTGCAGTGTGACTGAACCTGGTGAATGAATTCTCTTTGAGATTAAGAGTCATAATTGTGGACCAGCGTTTGCTATTAACTAACTTCAATTTCTGTTGACATTTTTGTACTTGAAACTTTATCATTGGTCAACAACAAATTCTGCAAGTTTTGGGAGAATCAAGAAAGTGCTACATTCATAAAATGGATGTAACATGTTCATTTTAACATAGTTAAAATTTGTGCTGCCTTCCATCCACAGATGTGAAGTTTTGGAAAAGTTTAAAATCTCACTGGGATTTAAATATGTAGCTGTGGCTTGTTCATATCTAACAATTTCTAGTCTCTTTATTTAAAATAAATGTAGCCTTTTCCTCATCGGCATCATTGTTTGTTTCAAGCAGTACTGTCCTCCTATGTTTTTGGATAGTCTCACCTCACCCTTAACAGCAAGCAGTACGTCTGTCACCACCACCAGCCCCCATGAAAGCAGTACTCATGTTAGTTCCTCCAGCAGCAGGAGTGAGACAGGGGTCATAACCAGCAGTGGAAGTAGCATTCCTGACATCATCTCATTGGACTAAAGGACTCACTCGATTCTAGGAATCATTCATCAAAACTGCGCGCTCTCGGATCTCTGGTCCATGGAAGCTATATATATTTTTTTGTAACAATTACTTTGATATTTATTGAACTGTCACATGGATTCTTTTGCTTTCTGAGAAAACACAGATAACTACAGCAAGAACCAAGTGACATGCAAGGATTTTTCTTATTCAAGCTGTACTCTGTGCATCAGATATATTCAGCCATAACTGTTACCTTCTTGAGAAATGGATTTCAATTTCATGTTCCTGAAAGGATTCTACAAACCAGTTCAATTTTTTTTTGGTTGTAATAAACAGCAATAAAATTATGTAAATATTCAAGTAAACCTTTTCTAATTAAAAAGATGTAATCAATGATTCAAAAATGACAGCAACTTCTGCTTAAGCTGATGTGAAGGAAAACTTTCATGGAAAGAAGTTATGTTTGCTGAATGACCTTTCCACGGAGATTTGTTCTATTTTATCGACGTAATGAAGTCTTCATATGTGGCCAAAACTTGGATTCTGCTTTTCTTCCTGCAGTTCTACTTTTCTTCATGATCCCATCAGAGAAAAAAAAAAATGGCTTTTGTGTTAAGATTTTTCCCTGGTTGTCATTTACCTTTTGACAATGTTCGCTAATGAATGTGGAGTTAAGTTCTGGAATTGGCTGTCCTGTATTAGTGATTGTGTTGAAGAACACTACGCAGATTCTGTCCTGACTCTCTTATTTTTGGTAATTGCATAGTCTCAATCTAGAGATTTCTATAGCTTGGGCTTGCCTTCTCAAAAAAAATTCTGTGCAGCCATTAAATGGAATGCTTTTGGTATGGTATGGCTGGAATATTTATCAGAATTTTGTTGGTGCTGTTCAGAAATAACGAGAGCTTGAAGGCAGTGGAAATACAGATTTAGGGGAGATCGGAATAACAAAGGTTCAGTTTCTTCCTAACAGCTTTTTTTGCTTATTTGTTTTACAGAGTAAATTAAAGTCTTTGACACTTTCCAGGGCTTAGTAACATTGACAGAATGTTAGGTCTGGTCGTTGTTCCCACCAATGTAATTTCAGTCTCAGAACAATGAAAACTTGAAAAGCAAACAGTAGGAAGGGCAGGGGACAGCATCAGACTCTCTGTTTTTTAAAAGGAAATCTTCCCCTGAAACCATGAAAAGCAAAATATAATTAGCAATGTTTGAATTTAAGAAGAATGTATTGAGGAGGATGGACTTCAAGCCCACCTTGAGACCCATTCTCTAGCTGTGTGTTTGCCTTTAAATCTTTCAGGAAGCGGAGTTATTTCCTTAGATTTTATCCAAGTTTTACATATTGCTTTACTTGGCCTCCTGCTCAAGGAGTTAAGTGTGTTTCCAGTGTTTAGCTTGCTCTACTTTAGATGGATTCACCTTAAAAAATTAAAAGACTTACTGATTCCTTAAATGGAAGCGCCCGGTCTAGGACTCCGCCATTCGCAGTTAGAATAGGGCCGTTGTGAGTCGGTGCGCGGACCTGGGACTGGCTAGTGGCTGCCTGTGTTTTTAACCATCTCTTGCTTTCCTGAGCTCTGCGCTCCTTTTGAACTGACTCAATTTCATGTAATTTTTCATCCATTCTTTGGCTTTATCATCCCCTTCATGTTTTGCCTGTCCCGGAGAGCTATTTATCACTAGCAGTGCGGCGCGCCCACCTTGCCATAGCTGCACATGGTCGCCAGTGTCGCCTGCTCGGCCATTAGATTTCCAGTTCATGCTGCAGTCTTTGGCCCAACTAGAGAATTTCTCGTCAAATTTTATGTTGCTGCTCTAAATACAGATGCAATTTCTGTTAACTTTGTAATCCGAAAAAGTAACCTGATTTGTGTGATATAATTTGTTAATAAAGAAATGATGTATATTTGTTATCCTTTTGTTACCCATTAGATTCTCAGACACTCCTCCTCCCCAGCTGAACCAGCAAAGTTTTATAAGATAAATGAAAATATTGATAGAAATTAGTTTATTTACTTGGATCTTATAACTGTTACCTCTGTGCTTTTATAGTTGTACTTGGTTTCTCTATCACTATTTTTTGTGAACAGTTTTAGTGTTTGTTTTTGGTGCTTTACATTGGAATTACATGTATTTTAAAATTTATCTCATACAAGCAACTAGCATTTTAGAAATTCCACTTTTAAGTTTATAATCCTTAAGGTTGGGGCTTACTTTGTGTGTATCTTTGAAGGTGAGTGATTTTCTTTATGCTGTTGGCCTTCTGACAGCAACATGATTATTAAGCCATTTTCCTTCTTTTAGTATAGTGACTATAGTGTTTTTACCAAGACTCTGACTTAGCGATTTATTTTGCTAACTGAGATTCTATTTAGCCAAGTTTAGTGCAGCTTCACATGAGGTCATCTTAGCTGATATTTAGATGTCAGTCAGCCAGCCAGTGATTAAATGGAACTTCTTGTGTAAAGAACAGAATTGCAGTTGCTGTTCTGACCAACCAATACATTTTTACCTTTATTCACACTTTAATATTAAGGGCTTTCTTGTTTTGGTAATTCCTGACAATGTAATTGGTGCTGAATATAACTCCACGCCTAAGGCCTGCTTATATTCACCACTGGCCCTTATGTGACTAGCCCCTTGGGTATTTCATTTCCATTTCTGCCCTGAAGGACAGAGGTCTTGACATCTGTCATAGAATAATTACAAAGGCCAAATGAAACACAGGTAAGTTTAGGTTATGTGGCATTTATCAGAAAATGTGTTTCAGGAAAACTAGAGTGCAAATAACCGTGCTTAAATGAGAGACTGTGAATACAAGTAAGCTGATCCACAAGTTTCCCTAGGGTAGACTCTTAATTTGAAGAAAGGCAAAGTGTTGGATTTTAGGTGACTTGGTGGCTCAACAGACTATTCTGACTCTGAAATTCAAACCTTTCAGACTCCCTGCTGTGGGCCAGTCCAGGACACTTGTCATTTAGTAACCAGGTTGTCTTTTTCTTCAATAAAGTATTCGTTAGTTACCTTTGTCTTGATTTTAGAAAGCATCAGCTTACTTGCCAGGTATGCCTTTCTTCTCCTCACTTGGCTGTCTCTGTACATGTACACCTGTACAGGAACACTTCCCTGTAGTTTTCATCGTGGAGCATGTAGAGCAATGTGCCATTTCAACCCGACTCTGGCATATTTGTGGTCCTGGACCCATGTGTGTGAGAGCTTGGAGTTGTCGTTTGGATTGGTGGTCATCGTTTATTCAGTCTGATTCACGTAAATGTGAAACTTGTAGAAAAGACTTAAGAATTTCTCTCTGCCTTTAAAAAAGTCTGATGCTCCTGTCAAATAAATGACTGGTTTTTGAGTCCCTTTTGTTGTCATCAGGAGCCATACCCCAATTGCTGGCACACACAAATAAGGCTGTGAGAAATGTCCATTCTTCTTTAAAGTTTGCCTGATTCAGTGTGTGTGTGTGTGTGTGTGTGTGCGCGCGTGCGTATGTGTGTTTCTTGTTAATGTCCCTAACATGTACTTATTTTGGAAAAACTAGACAATATGGAAAGGGAAAAGTAAAAATAATAACTAGTTGTAATTCTAATACCCAGGAGGGGAAAAGCACCTTCCTATTCTTTCCATGCATTCGCAGGTCTCTCTGCCACTTGTGCATGTTTTGTTTTGTTTTGTTTTTAGCATACTTCATTCATTCACAGTATGATTCATATCTTGGTGGTTTTTTCCCCAATTTATAGGTGTTACTCCATGTCATTAAAAATTATGTCAGCCTCTATTAGTTGTGTGGTGTTCCATTATATGGAGGTGCTGATTGTATCACCTTTCTTCACTGGGCATTTTAGATCACTTATTATAGTGTCACAAATGAATGCCTCTGTGCATAAATTATGTCCCTAGGATAAATTCCTAGAGGTCAAGTATGAACACTGGTAGGTCTTGATTCACCCCATTTTTCCAAGTGATTTCTTAATTTATATCCAACCATTTGGTATGAGAAGAACTGCTTTTCCAAGAAAAGGTGCCAGTGACCACTATATAGCATCTGCACAAAGAGCCTGTACCCTCCTTGCCTGGTGAGCTGGGCTAACTTGCCAGTAATTAGCAGAGATTTCCTGGACTCTCAAGGCTGTCTTTGAGCTGTTTGTGAAACAGCTGCATGTGGCTATCCATACAGTTTTTCACATAAATACTTGCTCTGTGAAATAGCCTGATGTCAGACTACATCTTCCATTGCTAAGTAAGAGAAAACTTAACCATTTGTGCCTAGGACCAGCCCTTAGTAGCCAGCTGTCTTTTTTCCTCTCCTTGTAGGCTCCATTTTGACCTTTCTGAGCTCCCCAAAGCCAGTAGGATCTCCTGAGCAAAGGCAGTCCAATCCCAACTGGAAACTGGTAAGGCTGAATGAAACAAGGGCCAAGCTTTGCTTGTTCCACCTGGTGCTACTTTATGTTTCCAGTTGGATCTTGGTGTTCTAAGGGTGGATGTGGGGAAAGAAAAACATGGCATTCATGTTTAAAATGTATTTTCTTGACTGACCTACCAGTGTCTGTCATTTTCCAAACTGCTTTTTTATTTTGGAATGGCTTTTAAAATTTTGTGTTCTTTGAGCTTAACTCTTAAATGAAGAGTGCTGTGTTATGAAATTGCATATACCTCTTATTTTGGCCTTCAGTCTATTCAGCCACTAGTTACTTGATAGCTTGTTAAGTGTGCGTGGTATAGAATAGTATAGGAGATATGATTTCAGACTACAAAGGGCTTAAATCGAAATTTCAAAGTCAAATCTTACCTCCTAACCAACACTGGGCTAATCACAGAAATTTCTCATTCCTTATAAACAGCCTTTTGAATATAAGTGTATTACCCCTATTTTACAAACAAACGGATTTGGATTTGGGGTCTGAAGTAGACTACCTCAAAATCTCTCCAGTTACACTGAGGTGATGCCAATGGACTCGGCTGGTTAGGAGACTGAGAGGGAATCTAAACAGGAGAACTAATCAGAGAGCCACCGGAGTAAGGAAGAGGGATGGTGGAGCCATTTCAGGGGAGGCCTCGGGATTTAGTGTCTGATAGAGGAGTATTTAAGTGCTAAGTCTACCCAAACCTGGCTAAGTGGGGTAGTGGTGCTACTCGAGGGGATGGGTCAGATGCAGATTCGTCATTTGAGGGAAAGTGATGAGTACATGCTAAACGAGATTTCAGAAAGGAAGTGATACTTTAAAGTTTTTTAAGAAGTGCAAACCTATCCACCACTTTTTGCCACCAGTTGCCTATTCTGTACACACTCAAGTGACTCCCACTCCCCCATCAGCCCGTTCTCCTTAAGAGAAATGCTGGGCTGCATTTCAGCCTGTTTTCTCCTTACTACCTTACCTGGTTGTGCCATTCCCTTTGGTTCTCACCACTGTGGGCTTGTTCTTGTTCGTGTATCCTAAGACTTGCTGCCTGCCCCTTGTAATGTCTAAATTGGCCCCAACGCCCTTGACAAGAATCTGTGCCATTGCATCATGTGCCAAGAGGTTATGCTCTCAGCTGCCTCTGCTCCTGTTAAGTAATTGATCGCTTCTTGTGGTTGGCTGAAGACTTTACTTCCTGACTCACTGGCCCTGCCATCTTGAATTCCTTCCTCTTCCACTGCTGCTGTGTTGTGACAGGTTGTCCATCCAGCTGTCAAGCATACGTGCTATTTTGGTTACTACAACTTTTTCTTTCACTAAAACTCCCTGCCACGACTTAATTCCTTCTGTTTTCTCTGTACTTTGTGCCCAGTTTAGATAGCTTTGTACATATGCTCAGACCTCTTTTTCTGAGTTACCTGTTCATCACATCACATGCTCCTCCTACTCATCCTCATTGGTTTTCCAGACTCTGCCCTGCCAGACCACGCCCCTCTAAGCAAATGACCTTCCTAATACAACCAGAAGGCAGTACATAAGCTTTTCTCTCTTGTGCTGCTTGCATCATTGCCTTGTTATTCTTTGCCTTGTTATTCGAACCTTGGAGTATGGAGGGAGAACCTGAGGGCCAGTTTAGCCGTATGGGCCTTTGACCACCCTCAGGTTGGTCTTCTTCCACCTTTAGGCTTACCCACTTCTTCTCCATCAGACTTACCCACTTTCCTCCCTGTTTTTCACTTCTGCTGGGTACCTTTTTTTTGAGCTTACAGTTTCACACATCAAATATTTGAGATCTGTTATGGCCAGGCATTGTCAGACACTCAGAACACAAGATAGATAGGTATGTACCTTCACCAAAGTTGTACTCTAGCAGAATATACAGATTTGTGAAATGGGGTGGTTAGGATGCAGTGGTAAGAAGCAAGAATTCAGGGCACTACAGGTGTAAGTGCACGGACAACTAACTGATTCTGTGGTACTAACACGTAGGAACAGTTGACTGGGACTTTGTCAAGTAGAGAACTGAAAATATTCAGAATGACTGGAAATATGCAAGAAATCACATAGAGCAGTGCAAGGCACCGAAGAGTTTTCATGATCACTGACAGTAATGAGCATTGTTGGGTGTGATGTGATTGTCTCCATTTTGCAAGTGTGGAAACAGTTTTTGAGAGGGTAAGTGATTTGCCTGAGGTCATGTAGCTTGTAAAGGCAGCCAGTCTTCAAGCCAGCTTTCAACCACCTCAGTAGGGTCTTCCGTAGTCATTCTACCTAAAAATAGGCATTCCTTAACTGTTACATCACCATTTATATCCTGTGTGGCATAAACTGCAGCCTATTTATGTTTTGGCTCACTGTGTATTGTCTGTTTTCCCTACTAGATTGTAAGCTCCATGAGGGCAGGGGTGATAATCTTATTTCACTTGCACCCCAGAGCCTAACATGGTATGTGGTGCATAGTTAGTGCTCAATAAATACTTGTGAATGAAGAAATGGTGCATGATTTTGTATTTGATTCACTGACAGTGGAATCATGTAAAACCTGAGCAGCAGGCAATCATTACCAAGAGAAAAACAAGAAAAGGTGTATCTTTGAGGCAGAGGACAGAGATGAAAGGGAGATTCAGCATGCTGACCTTCTAGACTC